GACCATTTCTGGCCGGCAACTTTCAGCGTCATTAAGCCGCTGCGCCACCACGTCCCCCTGGCTAAGGGATGCACATAACTTTAGTTTGCTGGTTTAATGTCACAGTCTTTTAAGAAAGTGGCTGTCTACATATGGTTGGACTCTGTTTTCGATCAGGCCAGCTGGCATGGTCAGCAGTCAGGTATGATGGAGTTGTAATATAAACACATCCAGGGGACTAGAGGTTCCAGGTTCTCCTCCAATAGTTGTTCCGTTGGCTCCCTGTTGGCATGTGTTGCCTTCCTTGAATCCAAAAGTGGCTATAACTGTGTGTCCTTTCTTCATAACCTGGATGATTACATCCATGACATTTCTCTCCTTCTCACCCCAAGGTTTCACAAAATGCTTAGGAAGGGTAAAAGTCGGAAGGTGCTGCAGGAGTTTGAAACGCTGCGGAAATGCAACCCCGAGGCTGCCCTGGAGCAGCTGGAGAAAATTGAGAAAGCACGGATTGAGGTGGGGCTGGTCCTCTTACAGATGAAGCTGAAATGGAGCCTCTGTGCTTTCAGATGCACATACAAGCATTTTGCCTTGAGGAGCGCATGCTCCATTGTGTTGACAGTTCTTTCTTTCTCTCTGCAGGAGAGGATGAGCCTCAAACACCAGAATAAGGGCAGGTGGGCCAAGTCAACTGTCATTATGGCAAAGTATGACCTCCAGGTGAGAGGGCATTGGAGAAGGCTAGTTTGGCCGAGAACATCTTAAATGGAATTAGTCCAAGGCAGGCACTTGAATAATATTTGTGGAAGTTGAATTATCTTGATGCAGTCTTCCCCACTCAGTTGCTCTCCAGATATGTGGGAACTGGAGGCCCTATGACAATGGTATGCTGTGGGAGGGTCATAACAATTGAGGAGGATGACACTGAAGTCTTGAGACACCTGGAGGTTACCAGGATGTGGAAAGTTGTCAATTATGGCCCCAGCAGTACTTTTACAAAGTGCGCCCTTTGTCCGGAAAAGAAAGCTCGGCTTATTTAATTTTTACATTCAGCTCAAGAAAAAGATGAAAACCCATTCTAAAGAAGAAAAGTGTCTAGGAAAGAGTACTTATGTGTCCTGCTTCAATCATTTATTTTTGCTTTGCTTTTTACTTTCCCTCTGTAGGGAAGAAAAACAATTGTTTGTGTTTTTAAAATCTGCTGCAGGCTGAAATTGTAAATTGTATGTTGGGATGAGCAGAATATAAATGTGGATTAATCGTTCACAGGAAGATTTGCAGGAGTTTCTGACTTCCAAAGGTTTAGGAATAGCAGATGTCAAAAGTAGCTCCTCCCCAAATTACACTGTTTAAACACCTCATCTACTCATCCCTAGTAGATTCGGGCACAAAGATGTACTTTATGCATTACAGGTTGGCCTAGTGTATGAGCTGGGGTACGTTATTAGGTGTCCAGCACAGCTTATGTTTTGCTGCTTGCTCCTTTTTTGTTCCTGGTTTTGGTTGGGGAACTCTGAGGCTTTAGATAAAAATAAAGTAAAAGTGGGACCTGCCAGTTTTGTGTTTGTCTACTCATATTGTCAGTTGCTAAGTGCTGATTTTTGCCTTTTTTGCCAGGCCAGACAGGCGATGCAAGAGCAGCTGGCTCGGAACAAAGAACTAACCCAGAAGGTCTGTCCTGCCTCAGAAAGCGAAGAGGAAGAAGCGGGTGACAACCCTGAAGCAGAGAAGGATCTTGTTCCAGATGTCGTCAATGAGAGGCATATTGGAATGGATTCCAGCAACCCCTGGATGTTAGGAAGAACCCCTGCGGAATCCAAGGAGGAGCCAAATGTTCCAGCAGAAGACAGTGGGGAGAGTGAGGGAGAGGGAGAGGAACTGCTCATGGCCAACGAGAAAGATTTGTTGCAAGAGTCTGACGGGCAGTGGCAGAGCCTGAAACATCAGCGAGGCAGTGCTGGGCTTCAAGGTGAGCTGCCAAAGCTTGGGGGCACAGAAGCAAGGGAGCTTTAATCATATCTGGGAGTCCTGCATTTGGCTTGGAGATGGAGACTGCTGCTGATGTGCAAAGGTTCCACAGAGAACTACGTAGATGAAGAGGTCTGGATGGCAGTTGCTTTAGAGAAGGGAGAAGGGAACTGAATGGGTTTGGTCCAGAGCAGAGAACAGTCTCAAGACACCCAGGACCGCACTGCCAAAACATTTTAAGTCCCGCTCTCTCCAGGGATTTTATCTCTGTGGCTCCTAGATGCCAAGAGAAACTGCAGCACCTGGGGCACGTCTCGTGGTCGTGTTTGCACTTGGATTCTGTAGAAGCACAAAATGTTGTTTTGAGCCCAGAATTTGGATCCCTAGGAAGTCCCAGCTTTCATCCTGGGTTAGTTGCTTGGTAACACCATCAACTTTCACCTGGGCTGGAGAATCTGTTGGCCTCCAGATGTGGATGAGCTACAGTTCTTACCAGCTTGACCGTAGGTGAGGAGTGCTGGTTTAATGACAACTGAGACCTGCAGATTCCCCATCACCGATACATGTGCACTCTTTGGCTTAGTTTGCACATTGTATGACCCCCTAGTTTACTGTACAAACTGAGCCAACTGGTTGCTATACAGAGCCATAAATCAGGTATTCTGATTGAGTTTGCATGGCACAGTAGGCTAAAACGTAGCTGGCTAGTTTGGAGTTTTGAGTGTTTGCACATCCAGCCAGTGTACTTGTGTCAACCTTACAAGGTAGTCCAGACAAGAAGCACACCCAGATGAACTAATTCTACCCCATTGTAAGGTTACGTTAACAGAATCTTGCAAGTCTGA